ACAAACTATCAAATCAAATAGGAAAAGAGAAAATTCCCTGATGTATCCAATTCGATTAAAAAAAAAAAAAAGTCTTCGGGGGGTGTGGGTTGATAAGCAGTCATAAAAAAAAAACCCCTGTATTTAGTTTATAAATTTTTTTTGTACGGTTTATATTCATTTTTAAATTTTTTGGATCGCTATAGCCTAGGGGGTAGCATTGACCCCAACACTACTTTTAACTTGCATTTTTTTTTGCATTTAGTTATTTGGTACAAAAATTGTCCCAGCAAAATTTTTAGCAACTCAGAAGCATAAATTTTAAATTTCATATTAAAAAATCTAAAAAACTTTTTGTGTTGATTTTGTGTAAGGACTAACAACATCTTTTACAAAAATCAGAGGTAATGAAAAAAATAAAAGCCTATGGAAAAAAATCTAAGATTTACTTATTTTTTCATAATGTAATGATAAATTAATCAATGTGGGGACTAGGAAGGTAATCGAATATAAACTTGCTCTGTTTTTTATAAGCATCAGAAAATATTAGGAGTTACAAAAGGGAAACCCTGATTCCCCTTTGAGAACCCACAGGTTCGGGTTTGGCTAAAAAAACACTCAGCAAAATAACTTGACAAGCTATTACAAATTTAAATTTTTCGTGTCAACGATGTCTTTATCAATTTATGACTTAATAAAAAAAGTTACCCGAGAGAAACTTGTCTTCACTTTTTTCGGGAGACATCTAAAAGCGTAAATAGTTGGAAAATGTACATCTAACTGTGTAAAATAGCTTAGGTTCATGTACTCTAAAAAGCTGTAAAATTGCTTAGGTTACATGTAATTAACTGCTGTAAAATAAATTGGTTACTGTACATTAATGCTGTAATGCTTAGGTCATGTACATCTAACTGCTGTAACATAGTTAGGTTACTGTACAAACTAATGCTGAACTAGCTTAGGTTCATGTACATCTAATGCTTAACATAGCTTAGGTTACATTACATCTAACTGCTGTAAATGCTTTGGTTCATGTACATCTAACTGCTGTAAAATAGCTTGGTTACATGTACATCTAATGCAACAACAGGCATTAACAAGCCTTTTTAACATTCTTAGGTTACGTACATCTACGCGTAACATGCTTGGTACATGTACATTAATGCTGTAACTAGCTTGGTTTTCATGTACATCTAAAATGCTGTAACATGTTGGTTCAGTAATCTAAATGCTGTAACATAGCTTAGGTTACATGTACATCTACTGCTGAAAAATTTAGCTTAGGTTAATGTACATCTAAACTTTTCTGTAACATAGCTTAGGTTACATGTACATCTAACTGCTGTAACATAGCTTAGGTTACATGTACATCTAACTGCTGTAACATAGCTTAGGTTACATGTACATCTAGCAGTTTACTGTACACCCAGACTGATGTAGTAGCCAGGCTTAGGCTTGGTTACATCTACATCTAGCAGTTTACTGTACTCCCAGACTGATGTAGTAGCCAGGCTTAGGCTTGGTTACATCTACATCTAGCAGTTTACTGTACTCCCAGACTGATGTAGTAGCCAGGCGTAGGCTTGGTTACATGCGCTTCTAGCAGTTAGTGGTCAACAGAGTTAAATTAAATCAGAGGCTGCCATAGTGAAGAGCTCTGTTCCACAAGGCACAGTACTCGCCCCCATCTTATTCCTTATCCTCATATCAGACATAGACAGAGATATACATCACAGCACCGTATCATCCTTTGCGGATGATACTAGGATCTGCATGAGGCTGTCATCTGCTGAGGACGCAGTTAACCTCCAAGAAGATATAAACAAAGTTTTCCAGTGGGCAACGGTAAACAATATGATGTTCAATGAGGACAAATTCCAACTACTCCGTTATGGAAAACTGGAGGAGATAATAACTAGAACAGAGTATACTACTGACTCCGGCCATACAATAGAGCGGAAAAAAATAAGTAAGGGACCTGGGATTTAGTAATGTTTTGGGATCTCACTTTCAAGGATCACAACATGCCACGATCGCACGTGCAAAGAAAATGATAGGGAAAGGATAATGAGAACTTTCAAAACGAGAGATGCCAAGCCAATGATGATCCTTTTCAAATCACTTTTTCTCTCTAGGGTGGAATACTGCTGTACACTAAAATCTCCATTCAAAGCAGGGGAAATCGCAGATCTAGAGAGTGTACAGAAAATCCTTTACTGCACGTATAAAATTCTGTCAAGCACCTTAACTACTGGGAACGCTTGGAAACACTTGACTTGTACTCGTTGGAAACGCAGGAGGGAGAGATATATCATAATCTACACTTGGAAAATCTTGGAAGGAATGGTCCCAAATCTGCACACAGAAATCACTCCCTACGAAAGTAAAAGACTGGGCAGGGGATGCAAAATGCCCCCAATAAAAAGTAGGGGCGCCATTGGTACACTAAGGGAAAACACCATAAGTGTCCGGGGCCCAAAACTGTTCAACAGCCTCCCATCATGCATTAGGGGAATTGCCAATAAACCCCTGGCTGCCTTCAAGAGAGAGCTGGACAGATACCTAAAGTCAGTGCCGGATCAGCCGGGCTGTGGCTCGTACGTTGGACTGCGTGCGGCCAGCAGTAACAGCCTAGTTGATCAGGCCCTGATCCATCGGGAGGCCTGGTCATGGACCGGGCCGCGGGGGCGTTGATCCCCGGAATAACCTCCAGGTAACCTCCAGGTACTCCCAAACTGATGTAGTAGCCAGGTGTAGGCTTGGTTACATGTTACGTCTAGCAGTTTACTGTACACCCAGACTGATGTAGTAGCCAGGCTCAGGCTTGGTTACATGTACTTCTAGCAGTTTACTGTACTCCCAGGCTTGGTTACATGTACGTCTAGCAGTTTACTGTACTCCCAGACTGCTGTAGTAGCCAGGTGTAGGCTTCTGGCAGTCTGGCATACAAATGATAGTCAAACTGAATATAAAGTTTGTGGTCATTCAAGTGCTTATTTGTTCGCTTCTTGAGGAATATAGAGACGTAGTCAGTACAATACCTTAAATGGGATGTCACGGTTTCTTATTAGTGAAAATAAGAAACGTATTGAACATGTACCTTGACCTTGGTTGCAAAAGATGAAGGTATTATTGAATAAATGACACCCTTGTTAATGATACCTAAATGTTCTCCCAGGACTCAGTGGTTTAGCTTCTGTTACAGTGTATCCGTGTTCTTGAACAATGGTCCACATATTGGATATGGAGTGCACAAGGCACTAGCGACTACCATCCACAGGATAGATATGGTGTACAATAAACTATCAGCTACCGTCCAGAGGCTGATTATGGGATTCACAATAAACTCCATGTTTAGAAAGGACATGGCCAGAACGTACAAATAGTCGATTCATATGCTTTCTGCTCACTTGGTATAACTTAGGCAGTTCATCGTAACTGTTTTTGCCTGCTACCACTGTCTTTATTTCCACTTGTCGTGTAACACCACTTTTAATAACATCCAAGATACTGAGAGGTACCATGGTGAATGTACAGTGCTGCTCTGTACGAACACATCAAGAGAGGTTGGTTGGTTAGCTGGGTTTAGTTTAAATGCTTATCGACACACGAGGGTCATTAAGGCTGCATGTCACTTGCTCACCACCGATCAAGAATACCCTAATCTCTAACTTTGGGTCTATTGGGATTAAACTCTAAGTGTATATATGGTAAGATATACATCCTTCCAGGTGTATATGCGCTGTTCCTCAGTGCACACACGTCGAGAAACCTTTACTCATCAGAATATATACAGAGGTACCTCCCCAGTGTATATATAATGTTGCTCCCAGTGCATACACACAGACACCTCTCAGAATATATATGAAGTTGGGGAAGCAGGAGGGACGGGGTCATCGAAATTTAAGAACCGAGTCAAGTCTCTGTCCTGACGAATGTTGAGCCATGATGCAGGGACCAGAAGCTATAACTTAACACTCAAAGGTCAGCGCTGTATAGCCCTTGTGGCTTAGCGTTTCTTTTTGATTATAATAATAATAATAACAACATTCAAAGTTGGTTGGTTATTGGGTTTTAAAGCCTATCGACTACACGAGAATCATTAAGAAGAATATTTTAATCTCTAAAATATGGATTAAAATAAATCCTCAGCGTATATACGCTGAGAGAAATATACTCTGTCGGTGTATATATCCTTGAACTTCCCAAAAAAGCAGATATGCTAACAGAGACCAGGACTATACACCCCATACACAAAGTGTACATTTATGTACCAACCCAGCTGTGTGTCGGGGGGTTGAGCCGTACCTCCCAGATCCCCCCCTACTTCTGTTAGCCAACACCGGTTTATCTCAGTTATAGCTTCTTTTACAGTTGTAAACTTGATTGATCTTCGTTTTTCTTATGCACAAAAATATACAAGTACTTCCCGACGTCTCTGTGACTCATCCCAGTGCTCAGTATTATGAGTGTTCCCTCTAGTCTGGTCAGACTAAACACTGTGACTGTGTACTCGCCTTTGTCTTAGGGTCGATTCAGAACTCTGTGATTTTTTTAATAAAATTATGTTAATTTTATCTTCTATACGACTTACACGGATTTTCCAGTTTTTTTTATAATAAAGTAATAATAAAAGGTATATACACTGAGGTATAGGTCTTTCATTTTATATATGCTAATAGTTTTTTACCAAGGTGGGTAATAATTTTGATAGTGGGCATTATTACCAGCTAGTATGGCTTATGTTAACTTCTCGGGGGGATACTTTTGTCAGTATACAACTGTAAGTTTTAATAAGGCGACCAGACAGTGGTTAGTTACAGTGAGACACACACACAGGGTACAAGATACATATAACCAAAAAAACAAATACATTATTGATAAATGGTTCAGAGAACCGACAAGTTGATCCAATATACCAACATATAGTCTGCCGTTATATATATATATATATACACATGCTGTGATATTTAGTGTTTAATTGTACTTAACGGTTATAAGGTAATAAAAATAATTTTTTATATTTAAATTTTTATATGTAAATAATCAAGAGAAATACATTTTTCTGACGCATTGGTCCCTTTTTGGATTTTATTAACATTTTTAAATAAACTTAAAATAATTTTGGTTTACTGCTCTTCATTGTGCTTTACTAAATAGCCTCAATAAAGTATATGGCGCTTTTGTTTACAATGTTTGTTTATATCTTAGCCTCTATCAAGGACAAATATCACTGAGTTATACTAACAATATATTATATACAATTATTTACAACCATTCAGTTATCTCAACACATCACCTCAATCACAACTCCCAAACCACAACACAATTATCTGGATCATCTGAAAATTCACACCAGAGGAAAAGCGAAATATATAAATCATGACTCACGAAATCGTGTTAACATGATTGCACACAAACCAGGGAACTAGTGGGGGTCGAACTCATGGCTGGCGAGTTGTGAAACTCACAGGCCAGTGTGTTCTGGGACTTGGAGATAATTGGTATAAAATGCCGACACGATGGAAAAATAAGCAGTTTAATGTCTACGTTTCGCCCACACAGTGGGCTTTATCACAAACAGATCTACTTGGGTAAAGAGTACATGAGCATACATGTTTACTTCACTCCCCACACTATATATACTCCAGTGATGTATCGGATATCCGCATCCGCATGCACATCCGCAGAATATCCACACAATGTCTTACATCCGCATCCGCAAAACAATTAAAACATCCTCATACACATCCACATCCGCGGATATTTAAATTTCCATATCCGATACATCTCTAATATATCCAGGTAGATCTGTTTGTGACTGATAAAACCCACTGTGTGGGCGAAACGTAGACAATAAAGAATCGCATTATACTACATATGTTTATTTTTCCATTGTGACTCACCATGAGTTCAACCACACTGCTCCCTGATTTATTATGCAAATTTTTGGATACGTAAATATTTGATTCAGAAACAAGAACAACACTTCAACTTAACATTCATTGAATCTGTGTAGCATAGAATAATTTACTTTACCTGACGTATCAAAGAATTTGCATGGCTTTTATTCCAGTTTTCCTGAGGGAAAGTCAATCGTTGTGTCCCAAACCATTTCATACATCTTAAAAAAAATCCAAATAATTTGGACGAATACTAAGATACGTGATATAAATTATGTAACATGAAAATAAACAAAGAATCTACACAGAAAAACATTTGTACTGATATTTTCTTTATTACATTCCTCTTGGCCAGAAAGCCTCCATATACACCGGGGAGTTAGTGAAGGGATTTTCAAATTATTATTATTATCAAAAGGATTTTAACTTTCTTTTTTCTAAATTTTCCACGTGAAATCATTGCTCTTTGAAATTTATCTTCGAAAAAAAAATTTATTGGCTTTCTATTTGATGTTTTCCTGTTTCTTTACACTGGCAAAAAACTGGAATAAATATATAGAACTAAGGTTCAGAACTTTTAAAAAAATTCTTTAAGTGAAATACTTAAAAAATTAAAAATATTCAGAGATTTTTTTACACTTGTTATATTAATAACAATAAATGTAAATATATTTTTTTTCGTTTCATTAAACTGAAGTTATGAGCTGCCATATTTAGCTTAGGGAAAGTCACTGTCTTCAGAAATTAGCTTCGACTGCTTTCTGTGATGTCAAACTGAAGATATGAGATCTTTACCTCTGCGGTGATTTATTAGCTGTCTCCTATTTAAGCTATAATTACTGCTGTATTAGAGCCTAGCTGTACCTGTTATTTTAGCTCTTCAGTCCAATTTTAGACTTATTTACGTAGTTATTCTCTTCTTTACAGAGACGTGATTAGATTTTCAGAAACTTGCGTATAGGTGTTATTCACATTGTAGGTCTCGTCAGTAGGCTGTGAAGAGTTCCTCTTGTAACCTAACTTGACTGTTCGTACTTGATGTTGGAGTCTTCTAGAGGTTCCAGCACAGGTATTCTGGAAGAGAGAGAGCAAAGTTAGTTCTTACACAGTCCAGTTCACAGGCTGGCAGCTGTTATCCTGCCTCATCTGGGAGCTGTTAGCTTACTTCAACTCATTTATAGGCTAGGAACTGTTATCCCACGTCAGCTCAATTGCAGCTAAGAGCTGTTATCTTATTTTAACTCATTTACAGGCTAGCAGTTATCTTACTAAAGTGTCCCGTAGCTCGGCTGGAGCGCACTCAGCTCACATATTGCGGTGCGTGGTTCATTAAGACACCAACTGTCCCTGTTTACTTAGCAATAAGTATGTACCTGGGTGTTAGCCGACTGCTGTGGGTCGCAACCTGGGGACAAAATTAACCTAAATTGCCGAAATGCTCTGCATAACTAGGGGCTTTCTATATAGTATGTCACTGATGTCAGCTATGATCTGTATAAGTTGTATCATGTATCTGTAGAAATAGATTATTATTGCCTCAGGTCATTACAAAGCTTGGCATTATCTAGGGTATACTACCACTCTCTAGGAAGCGACATACAACAGAAGACTAACACCCAGGTACCTATTTACTGCTAAGTGAACAGGGGCAGCATATGGGAAGAGCCTCATGCGTTCCTCCTGGGAATCGAGCCGAGTGTTCTCCGTTGTGAGTCAAGCACTGCCACTGACTTACATATTTTAAAATTAGTGACTGAAGCCATTACTTATCATGTGATGTAAATGATTTAGAAAACAGACAAGCTGAAGAATGAGACACTCGTGCAACATTTTGGAACCTTTATTGAGGAAACGTTTCGGTGGGTTGGGTAAACATATAACTACGTCAAGATACAAAAAATAAATATTTGAGGCTCTCTACTAATGCTCTTGATCCAAGGACTTGGACCCTTCCCGGGAATATAACAATATACTCACTCCTTTTGGACCTGGTGGGAGAGGTGTTGAGAATTGGGAAGGATGTGTTGGGATGTGGAGGCTGTGGTCTGATACGTCAACAGCTGGGGTGGCATATGCGGAGGTAGGCTGGATAGGCCTACTGCTGCTCCTGCAACTGATACCGAGCCCCCAGACGTGGTCAGGTGGTGAGAGCCTTGAGTGTGGTGGTGATGGAGAGGAACAGAAGTGCTGCTGCTGCTGCTGCTGGTACTACCGCCGTAGTGGTCAGCAGCGTGGTGGTCAGCGTAGTTGGTGATCACTGTTGACACTGTTGCAGATTATTATTATTATTGTTTTATTATAGTGCTATTATATTTATGTGAGCCGCTAAATCCATATGGGATAGTCAGCGCAGTGAGGGTTGGTTATTTGAGCTTAAAAGCCTATCGACACACGGGGGTCTTAAGTATGTCACACACTCACCCTCAGTCAAGAATACTTTATTCCCAGATGTATATCTACTGGGATTAAACATAACTAAAGGCAAATATTCCTAGATAAATCAGAATATAAACAAAGTGTTGAAGTGTTTTTATAATAGATATAGTGAACTAAAATATACCAAGTGGCCTTTTAAGAGGCATTATCTGTAATATTATTACTTAATTTATTCATTGTTCACTGATGATGTGTGTATAGCCTACGAAACACTCAGTTTTAATTTGCAGTTCTCTTTACCGAGGTAGTTTAACCTTAATTGTAGTCATATCTCTTAAATTAGTCTAGGATTTTTAAAGGAAGTATAATAGAGCGCAAATTGTGTGTGTGTAACTCACTCACCATAGGTTGTTTGAGGTTTTATTGGTGAGCTTCCGCCTATATTCAAACTGAAATAATAATAATAATAATAATAATAATAATAATAATAATAATAATAATACTAATACTAATAATAATAATAATAATAATAATAAGTGCAGACAGCACTAATATTAATAATACAATAAATTCTATATTTCATTATTAATAGGCAAAGTGGTGAACAGGTGACATGCAGCCTTTACGAACCATTTGATTAGTCAATAATACACAAATCACCCGCACATAGGAGAGACGAGCTTACGACGATGTTTCGGTCCGACTTGGACCATTTACAAAGTCACACTAACAGAAAAGATTAAGTAGGTTCACCAGGAAACAGGACAAGTATTTCCTGACACTGGTCTTAATTATATGATGACCCACAGCTTGAGCTTTTGGTCATCTGACCGAGGCCTTCCACTGGCTTACCAGTCCAGGGTTATATAAAAGGGAGGAGAACAAGGAAGGGAACAAGAGAGGGAGAAGAGAAAATGCTGGATGTGGTAAGGTAGGTACCGGCCTATTTATGTATTGTTTCAGTCATGGTATTGTGCCTCTTTTGTGCTTTAGAAGTCAATAAGTTTCAGGTCCAGTTATCATACTAACTAACCTGTCTATCTTTCTATTAATGGTAATGAAAAAATATTCAATAAATCCAAATCTAGGTGTAAATATATTTCTTTCAGATTTGAGCGCCACTACACCAATATTGACGCGTCGGAACAGTACAAATTTCTAGAAATTAATAATCTATCCGGTAAATGTTGTCGTTCTATGAATATTATCATTTATAACTGACTATATTAAATTACTTCCCTATGCAACTGGATTTTTAGCACTAATAATGATTGTATAAATGCACATACCTAAGACATAATTTGTGGATATATATCCAGATATACTGCTGATAATCCCTTTAAGAACATAAGAACGAAGGAACACTGCAGAAGGCCTACTGGCCCATGCGAGGCAGGTCCAAGTCTCCTACCGGCTTAAGCCAATGCACCCAACCTAGTCAGGTCAGGTCACATTGACTTAAGGGAGGAACACGGCAACCGACCTGGTAGCACAAGCTATCAGGTCCAACTCACACCCACCCACATCCACTCATGTATTTATCCAACCCATTTTTAAAGCTACACAACGTTCTGGCCTCTATAACTGTACTCGGGAGTTTGTTCCACTCATCCACAACTCTATTACAAAACCAGTACTTTCCTATATCCTTCCTGAATCTGAATTTTTCCAACTTAAAACCATTGCTGCGAGTCCTGTCTAGGCTAGATATTTTCAGCACACTATTTACATCCCCTTTATTTATTCCCGTCTTCCATTTATACACCTCAATCATATCCCCCCTAATTCTACGTCTTTCAGTAGATTCAGGGCCTTTAGTCTATCCTCATAGGGAAGGTTTCTGATACATGGAATCAACTTTGTCATCCTCCTTTGTACATTTTCCAGAGAATTTATATCCATCCTGTAATACGGTGGCCTAGTTCTTAGGTTTATGTGTATTTATATAATAAACTAACCACTACCGTCCACAGAATGGATTATAGGGTGCAGAGTAGACTAGCCACTACCATCCACAGGATGGATATGAGGTGCACAATAAACTAGCCACTACCATCACAGGATGGATATGAGGTGCACAATAAACTAGCCACTACCATCCACAGGATGGATATGAGGTACACAATAAACTAGCCACTACCATCCACAGGATGGATATGAGGTACACAATAAACTAGCCACTACCATCCACAGGATGGATATGAGGTACACAATAAACTAGCCACTACCATCCACAGGATGGATATGAGGTACACAATAAACTAGCCACTACCATCCACAGGATGATATGAGGTACACAATAAACTAGCCACTACCATCCACAGGATGGATATGAGGTACACAATAAACTAGCCACTACCATTCACAGGATGGATATGAGGTACACAATAAATTAGCCACTACCGTCCACAGGATGGATATGAGGTACACAATGAACTAGCCACTACCGTCCACAGAATGGATATGAGGTACACAATAAACTAGCCACTACCGTCCACAGGATGGATATGAGGTTCACAATAAACTAGCCACTACCATCACAGGATGGATATGAGGTGCACAATAAACTAGCCACTACCATCCACAGGATGGATATGAAGTAACAATAAAACTAGCCACTACCATCCACAGGATGGATATGAGGTACACAATAAACTAGCCACTACCATCCACAGGATGGATATGAGGTACACAATAAACTAGCCACTACATCCACAGGATGGATATGAGGTGCACAATAAACTAGCCACTACCATCCACAGGATGGATATGAGGTGCACAATAAACTAGCCACTACCATCCACAGGATGGATATGAGGTGCACAATAAACTAGCCACTACCATCCACAGGATGGATGAGGTACACAATAACTAGCCACTACCATCCACAGGATGGATATGAGGTGCAACAATAAACTAGCCACTACCATCCACAGGATGTATATGAGGTACACAATAAAACTAGCCACTACCATCACAGGATGGATATGAGGTACACAATAAACTAGCCACTACCATCCACAGGATGGATATGAGGTACACAATAAACTAGCCACTACCATCACACAGGATGGATATGAGGTACACAATAAACTAGCCACTACCATCCACAGGATGGATATGAGGTACACAATAAACTAGCCACTACCATCCACAGGATGGATATGAGGTACACAATAAACTAGCCACTACCATCCACAGGATGGATATGAGGTACACAATAAACTAGCCACTACCATCCACAGGATGGATATGAGGTACACAATAGACTAGCCACTACCATCCACAGGATGGATATGAGGTACACAATAAACTAAGCCACTACCATCCACAGGATGGATATGAGGTACACAATAGACTAGCCACTACCATCCACAGGATGGATATGAGGTACACAATAAACTAGCCACTACCATCCACAGGATGGATATGAGGTACACAATGAACTAGCCACTACCATCCACAGGATGGATATGAGGTGCACAATAAACTAGCCACTACCATCCACAGGATGGATATGAGGTACACAATAAACTAGGCACTACCATCCACAGGATGGATATGAGGTACACAATAAACTAGCCACTACCATCCACAGGATGGATATGAGGTACACAATAAACTAGCCACTACCATCCACAGGATGGATATGAGGTACACAATAAACTAGCCACTACCATCCACAGGATGGATATTGAGGTACACAATAAACTTGCCACTACCATCCACAGAATGGTATGAGGTACACAATGAACTAGCCACTACCATCCACAGGATGGATATGAGGTGCACAATAAACTAGCACTACCATCCACAGGATGGATATGAGGTACACAATAAACTAGCCACTACCATCCACAGGATGGATATGAGGTACACAATAAACTAGCCACTACCATCCACAGGATGGATATGAGGTACACAATAAACTAGCCACTACCATCCACAGGATGGATATGAGGTACACAATAAACTAGCCACTACCATCCACAGAATGGATATGAGGTACACAATGAACTAGCCACTACCATCCACAGGATGGATATGAGGTACACAAATAAACTAGCCACTACCATCCACAGGATGGATATGAGGTACACAATAAACTAGCCACTACCATCCACAGGATGGATATGAGGTACACAATACACTAGCCACTACCATCCACAGGATGGATATGAGGTACACAATAAACTAGCCACTACCATCCACAGGCTGGATATGAGGTACACAATAAACTAGCCACTACCATCTACAGGATGGATATGAGGTACACAATAAACTAGCCACTACCATCCACAGTATGGATATGAGGTACACAATAAACTAGCCACTACCATCACAGGATGGATATGAGGTGCACAATAAACTAGCCACTACCATCCACAGGATGGATATGAAGTACACAATAAACTAGCCACTACCATCCACAGGATGGATATGAGGTACACAATAAACTAGCCACTACCATCCACAGGATGGATATGAGGTACACAATAAACTAGCCACTACCATCCACAGGATGGATATGAGGTGCACAATAAACTAGCCACTACCATCCACAGGATGGATATGAGGTGCACAATAAACTAGCCACTACCATCCACAGGATGTATATGAGGTACACAATAAACTAGCCACTATCATCCACAGGATGGATGAGGTACACAATAAACTAGCCACTACCATCCACAGGATGGATATGAGGTGCACAATAAACTAGCCACTACCATCCACAGGATGGATATGAGGTACACAATAAACTAGCCACTACCATCCACAGGATGGATATGAGGTACACAATAAACTAGCCACTACCATCCACAGGATGGATATGAGGTACACAATAAACTAGCCACTACCATCCACAGGATGGATATGAGGTACACAATAAACTAGCCACTACCATCCACAGGATGGATATGAGGTACACAATAGACTAGCCACTACCATCCACAGGATGGATATGAGGTACACAATAAACTAGCCACTACCATCCACAGGAATGGATATGAGGTACACAATGAACTAGCCACTACCATCCACAGGATGGATATGAGGTGCACAATAAACTAGCCACTACCATCCACAGGATGGATATGAGGTACACAATAAACTAGGCACTACCATGCACAGGATGGATATGAGGTACACAATAAACTAGCCACTACCATCCACAGGATGGATATGAGGTACACAATAAACTAGCCACTACCATCCACAGGATGGATATGAGGTACACAATAAACTAGCCACTACCATCCACAGGATGGATATGAGGTACACAATAAACTAGCCACTACCATCCACAGAATGGATATGAGGTACACAATGAACTAGCCACTACCATCCACAGGATGGATATGAGGTGACACAATAAACTAGCCACTACCATCCTACAGGATGGATATGAGGTACACAATAAACTAGCCACTACCATCCACAGGAT